AGATATATCACCAACTCGAACCTCTCAAGGAAACCAAACAATCATACCGAGTTGAGGGAGTCGCTCGACTCTCGTCGACTAGGAACTAATGGCCAAATCAATGTTCGACCTCCCCTTGGAGGACCAAGGGGTAGAATCGACCATGGTACACCTGATAGAAGGGCCAGGAGTGGCCCCAGTCCACTAGGACGGATTTTTGACCTAGTGGCGCGAACTAGGTCTCGTATGGGGACAAAAAGGCATCTTCCTGGGAAATAACGTTGTATGAGGATTGGGCCACGCGTTACGATAAGAGTGGGTTGTTTGTACCCCTGACGCTTGACATTCGCGGCATGCCAGGCGCTGCAGGTCGTATTGACGGGCAATGGGGGCAACCGGTTCAACTCTTCAGGCAGACTTAGGAACAAGACATCACCCCTCTATATTAAGGGGTGTGGTAGATTAGTTTTAGGTTACATTCTCTATACACTATATATTTTTACTGTTCATCATCTTAGAGGGATACTGACTTAGGCATCGAAGGCTATTCACCAAAAAACCCCCCTTTCGGTGTCGAGTTCTTGTAGATGTGGAAGCTGTTCGAGGTCGAAGAAAGAAGCCATTGAGGTCTAGGGAGCAGTTTCCTCACTATAGTAGTTCGAGCTGAGATCGAGTAAAGTCTATTTCACTATTACTTAACAATTTATAATTATTGTTTCGTTCATCGCACGAGCCACTTACTAGTTTTTATGTATAAATTTCTACTGATATTTCATTACTTTACACTTGCAAGCATTATAAAATGTGATGTTTCACTCGTAATTAAGAAAATTAATAATTTTATGTTGTAAGGAAACGATTAGCTAGAAGACAAATACGAATAAAATTCAAACTTCATCTTTCTATCAACTTTATATATGCAGAATTAAAGGATAAAGCTTAAATGAGAATCTCTTTGTCCATATGCGTTAAACCATTTTTATTGTCCGTCAAATAAAAAAGCTGTGCTAAATGGTCGGTGTTTTCCGTAGAAGCAAACCATGGAACCATTGCTGTGTAAAGTATCTTCTTTATCTTATGTGTCCTTTGGTTGGGTCGTATATTATATATTTTCGCGTGCATTTTAGTCCTTATGTCTGCAATTATTCCAAAATAATCCTGTCCCCTTTTCTTTATCTTATGTGTCCTAGATAGCATCTATGAATAGCCAAACAGCCAAACAACTATATTCAGGAGGTCTACATAAAGGTAGCCTAAATGCAACTACACAAACGCACACACAAAATGTTAAAGTAGAATACCCAGCGTTCTAATTTGATTGGATATATTTATACTTATAAAGACAATTTATTGAAAGTTATATTATTTATAGGCATAACTTTATCTTATGTTTTTGCATTTATCCTATATGTGCACATATGATAAAGTCCTTAGATCATTATTAGCTATGAGGCATGGTTGCGCATATGATCACAATCATGGAACATGTCTTTAAAGCTGTGATCTTAAATAAGTTCCAAGTCAAGTGTTTCGAGACAGGACATCGAATAACCCGGTAAGACTTGTGCATATGATGTATGCTCATCGGATGAGAATGTTGCATTCCATCAACATTAGCGTGTGGACACAAATGCATATATTCGGGTGCTTGTTGGAGAACAAGTTCACTGAACATGGCCCGATGAAAATTCTAAACTGAAAATTTTAACTGTCGAATAAGAATTTTCATGTTGCAATAGTACATGACTAATCCTATGACTTGAGGCACGATAGTAATCTTGTGCATGTTGTGCTTTACTTTGATTTATCCTTTGATTGCTGGACAATCATAAAAGAGATATTTTGGGTACTGTATTAATATGTATGGAGGTTTATCTGTGGCCAACAAAGAATTCGACACTTATATGGATAAGTGAATTTCCTATGTTTTTCATAGTTTGTGATTCAAATACCTGGGCCAAGGCGATAAGAATATGGATTCATAAAGAAATCACTAAGCTTGAAATGAAATCATAGTTATTAAATCAATCGGGTTTCAACTTATAAATCCATGCCCAAGATTTAATCGAGAAATTAGTTGTCGAAAGGATTTTACATGTATGCACTTGTAATTGAAAAGGTTTACTCGCTATTTCACTTAACACTAGATAATCATGCTACTTGCTAGGTGTTACCATGATTTGTGGGTTCTTGAAATTAAGGAGTTAATTTCAAGAATATAAATTAATTAGATTAATTTAAATGATAAATGAGTTGTAAACCCACTACTAGTGTTAATCGTGAACCTAAAAGGGTCATACCAAATTTTGGATGATGACAATTTTGAAATTGGTATTTCCAATAGTTGGATTAATTGACAAGACTTAATTAAATAATTTGATTATTTAACTAAATCTATTTTGTTTAGACGTCAACTAAAGGAATATAAAAAATTAATCAATTGGATTGATTAATTGGGTTTTGGATATTAATTAAGTAATTATTGGAATTACTAAATTAATAGTTGGATTTTAAAGTTGGACTTTAAAATTCAAATCCAAATATTATTATAGCGAAGACATTGTTCTCGGAGTCGGAATCTAATATGTGGACTCGATTAGAGGAGAGACACTTGGATCCCTTAACATACAAAGACGGTGATAGCCACATAGCCGGAAATTGATTTCCTCTCCGTTGTCGCTATTTGAAGAAAATTAAAGGTAATTTTCAAAATTCTCTACAAATCAAAATTCGTATTTTTACGTGGTTTTAAAAGATGCCGATCGTAACAATCGCTATTTTAACCGAGGAGTTTAGTATTTATTAGATAAATGCTTATTTATTTCGTTATATTTCCACTGCAATTTACCCCGTACGGTACAACGAACCTAACCGAAAAAAATAAATTGTACAACTTCCACAAGTGGAGAATTCAAACTGTGAAACCAGAGAATACACGCTCCCAAAAGGAGAATAAACAGAAAAACACCAACTAAAACATAAAACAAACCACAAACACCAAACAACACGCAAAGAACTCAACCAAAAAGCTAAATAAAGAGAACAAGGCCCTTCACAACCACCAACAGCAAACAATTGAAAGCTACCAAGCGACATAGTTCCAGACAGAAAGCAGAACACGACCCAGCCTAAATCTAGAAACTGCAATAGAGGTCTAACCAAAATGAGCCCAAACACTTTTTCCATGAACCAACCCGAACCACACCAGAATCCCAACACCGAAATGACTCCCAACACTAAATCTGGCGACGACAATCGACTACCACTGACAGCAGCTGACCACTTGCCCGTCAGACCCAATTGCTCCAGCTCCAAGAAGCGGAGAGGAGCTAGGAGCCAGACAACGTCAGACTCAGGCTCTACCCCCACCACTGCATTAGACGGAGACGGTGACCATGAGCTCGCTGCACGGATGTCAGACCCCAACCTCAAGCTCTGCCATGGCCACCAAAAAGTGGAGACCCGCCACGCCAGAATGGGAACGGCGACAGGACGAGAAGCTCGCGACACCTCGGTGGAGAGCGTAACCGCGACAGAGGTTGTCGAGCGGCCGGGGGGAGGCAAACCGCAAGGAAGCCAAAGGGGTCTTTTGTCTGGCTAAGGATTTTGACTGAGAGAGAAAAAGTAGCTGACAAATGTAATTTTTCCCTGGGACTCACTTTTCATTTTGTAGAAGTTTGGAGGTGGTGTTCATGTAATCAGTTGATTATCTGGTTGTACTTTTCTGAGGTTAATATTATGTATAAGTTGTCAATGGAAAAAAAAAAAAAGAATATTACAGTGTTGAAGTGATTTCTTAACAATGTCACATGTCAAGTGTCTAAACTAAGACTATTTTCATTCCGCAAAATTGTAATTTGATTAAAAAAAGGCTATATTCAGAAGTTGACAAAGGAAAAATACTTGGCTTGAGAAGTTTAGGATGATTGTTGGACTTTATTTTTCTTCTCAAATGATAATTATATTAAAAATGGAGAAACTAAAAAAGAGTACGTCCGAAGTGCCAACAGACGCTAATAGAACTAGCAAAAAGTTTGGATCAACAACCCTTGAAATTACACAGTCGACCAAGGGGGTACAATAACCTGCAAAACAAAAGAACTCCAAAAAGGAGACAAAATAACTCCAAAAAATAGACTAAAGTCAGATGAAGCTGGACTCAAACCGAAA